ATCCATCCTGCAAGTGTTTCCCCCTTCCCAGTTTGAGATCTCCAAGGCCTGGCTACTACTCTTCTGTTATGATGGATGAATGCTCAATTCTTGAGAGACACAGTGTGTAAAGGAACCTGATTTGGCCTCACTTGATAGACTTTGCCGGCGCTGTTATCTGGAGTTATCTCTATGCCTGAGAATACAGACTTTCCCAAATGCACTAAAAGCATTTGACCATTTTGAGGCTCTGAGATTTCATACTAGATAGAGGCAAATACAGTTCTCAGATGGCGGGGGTGCTTTGTAACTTCATATGGACAAGCCCAGCTCCTTTTCCATCTACCAACATCTAAAGTGTAAGCAACAGTTACCACAACCCTGTCAATCTCTTTCTCCTAATGCTAGTTTACCATCTTTCCATGGTCTCCAGCTAGCATAATATATTTTGGATCTTTTGGTTGGCCCAGTAGCGGTATTACCAGAGGATGAATTCTGGATTTTGTTTTTGTTGATTTCATCAAAAATAGCCAGCATAGCTGCCCTGAAATGAATTGTGATATATATTGTGCCACACTTCAAAAATGTGTAGTGGTTTGAGCATCAGACTAGGACCCTCATGATCAGGGTTTGAATCCAAGCTCAGCCGTAAAAACCCACTGGGTGACCTTGGATGAGTCACACACTCTCAGCCCCAGAAAACCCCATGATTCACCTCTGGTTCACCTCAGGGTTGGCATAAGTTGGAAACAACTTATAGACACACAACAACAGCAAATAGTGGTTAGAGTATTGGACTTGGTCTTGAGACACCCAAGTCCTAGCCTCCAATGAGACATGAGACTCACTGCAACAACAACCACAACAAGAACCTTGCAAGAAAAAAAGCCTCATAAAGAGTCCAAAAAGTGCAAAAGAGAGAGAGACATGTAATGTTCCGGTAATTTTTGGCCCCATATCATGCAGAAAGTTTCTAACACATGACTTTGGACCACTCTCTCTCTCCCCTCCCCTCCATCCGATCTTGTTGTTGTTGTTGCTGTTGTGTGCCTTCAAGTCATTTTCGACTTATGGCAACCCTAAGGCAACCCTGTCATGGGGTTTCTTTGCAAGATTTGTCCAGAGGAGGTTTGTCATTGCCTTCCTCTGAGGCTGAGAGAGGGTGATATGCCCATGATCGCCCGGTGAGTTTCATGGCCAAGCAAGGAATCGAGCTCCGGTCTCCAGAGTTGTAGTCCAACACTCTAACCACTATGCCATGTTGACCTACCTCACAGGATTGTTGTGTGGGAATAAAATGAGAAACAGGAGAACACCTTAAGGACATTGGAGGAAAGGCAGACTATATATGTAAGTAGGGGAGAAGAGATAATTCACTATTATTTCCCAAAGTGGTCCTGCCTGCCACTAACCAAAGATTTTTCTTTAATTCCGATGTTATTGGGAAAGTGCAGCCATTTATGGACATATGACCCATTAGGTCTAGTAACTCTGAAACACGTCTATACTTTATTATCAGCATGCTGGAGAATCGGTGGTCACTCTAATTTATGGGGAAAGTATCCCTGATGGAGAAATGGCAGGACAAAGAGAATCCTTGTTGGTTTTCTGCTGCTCCAGAGACTAGGAACCAAACCCCAGTAATAAACTCACACCGATTCTGGGTACCACAATTCAAGAAGAATATGATCAAGCTGGAGCATGTCCAGAGGACAGCGACTAAAATGGTGAAGGGTCTGGAAATCCCAAAGCCCTCTCAGGAGCAAATTAGGGAGCTGAGTATGTTTAGCCTGGAGAAGCAAAGGTTAAGAGGTGATATGATAGCCCTGTTTAAATATTTGAAGGATGTCATATTGAAGATGGAGGAAGCTTGTTTTCTGCTGCTCCAGAGAAAAGGACACAATGAATGCAAGCTACAGGAAAAGAGATTCCATCTAAACATTAAGAAAAACTTCCTGACAGTAAGAGCTGTCCAACAGAGAATATAGTCCCTCGAAGTCTGGTGGAGTCTCCTTCTTTGGAGGTTTTTAAACAGAGGCTGGATGGTGATCTGTTGGGAGTGCTTTGATAATATATTCCTACATAACAGATGGGAGTTGGACCAGATGGCCCTTGGGATCTCTTCCAACAACTACAATTTTGTCTTGCCAAGAAAATGCATTATAAGTTGACATAAAAAGACTTGAAGGCACACAATAAACTTTTAACCTTCTTTATATCAATTTTACTGGTACGCTTCCCTGAGATCTTGTAACAGAGGGTGGAACAGAAAGAATCCTCAATGGAGCAGGAGGAAACAAAATTGCTCCATCCTCAATATGACAACACTTCAAATATTGAAACATGGCTATTATGTCACCCCTTAACCTTCTTTTCTCCGGGCTAAACATACCCAGCTCCCTAAGCTGCTCCTCATAGGGCTTCACCATCTTTCACCATTTTGGTCACCCTCCTCAGAACACTTAAACTGAAACTTTTTCCAAGTTCCTGAAAACTCTTCCAGCCAGTCACATTCTTGGGATGTTTTTTCTTACCTGGAGATTACATAAATATATAATTCTGTAGTAACATGGGTTTACAATAGTAGTTTCCCTGATCAATTGGCATACAATGAGCAAAGCAGGTGCAAAAACTCAGACAATGAGGCTTTGTGTCTGGATCTAACTATGATCTGAAGCTGCTGTGACCTGGTGTAGTCTCAGTTAGTTCTAGTTTTACATGAAGCTTAAGCAATTTTAAAAGTAAAGGTTATCAAGCCATGTCCAACTGCAGGGATGGTGCTAATCTCCATTGCTAAGCCGAAGAACAGTGTTGTCGGAAGACTACTCTGTGTTCCTGTGGCCAGCATGACTGCACAGAATGAAGTTTACCTTCCCACCAAGGTGGTACCTATCTATCTACTTGCATTTGCATGCTTTTGAACTGCTAGGTTGGCAGAAGCTGGGACTAGTGATAGGAGCTTACCCCATCATGTGGCACATGGGCCTTGAACTGCCAACCTGCCAATCTTGCAATCAACAGAGCCAGTTTCTTAACCGCTTGAGCCACTGCATCCCCTATAAGCAATTTTAGATTACAGTAATCTATGATTTTATGATTCCAATACATGAGACATTTCACCAAGTGCAGTCAAGGTGAGTGTGAACTTCACAAAAATAAACTGGTTCCACACCAGTTTCTTTCCATACTGTGAATGGGGCCTTAGTAAAAGTTTTGAGCTTTATGACATGTGTGATCCATGCCTTTGCAAAAATTGATCTGTAACTTTCAAAGTGCCTTTCTTGATCAATCAGTCAGTCAAAATTGTCAAAGTCATAGGTCATGACAGGAAGAAAAGATCAAGGAGGAAAAAGCCATTATCAGGAATTATATTACATGCTGTCCTGAGATTTGCCTATGTGTCACGATTCAACAATTGGTTCAATGATTCTACTCTAGTTGCAGTATAGTCATCAAGATCCAAGTCAACGGACAATGCTTTGATTGGGAGTTCCTGCATGGCAGGGGGTTGGACTGGATGACCCTTGTGGTCTCTTCCAGCTCTATGATTCTATAAAAATGGATAAAATAACCCATCATGATCCTTAGAAATTGCAGAGCCTCTTATGTAGTAGGGAATCTTTGATGTGTTTTTTGATGATTTATATCTAGTCCTATTTCCAGTGATCAAAGAGGGAGGAAGCAATTATCAGAAAATATTCCTTAGACAATGCCAATTTGATGAGAGCCATTGTATCAATCAGATTTTCCTATGCGTCACTAATTAGCAGTTGATTTGATGGATCTGCTTTAGTTGCAGTCTACTCTTCAAGATACCACAAAAAGTCAATGGCCACAAAATGGATAAAAAAGCCCATTACTCTCCTTAGAAATTGCAGAACCTCTTGTGAATATTAGGAAATCCTTGTAGATGTGTTTTTAGATTATTTTATTAAACTATTTATATCTAGCCTTATATCCAAGAAGCTCAAGACAGCATGCAATAAAATCGATTGCAACAATTTAAAATGGGAAGCAGTAAAAAAAACAAACAAACAAAAAAAACGACAGTCTGAAAATATAATAAACTATCTCACAAATCAAGACAAGTTTAAAAAGCTGGAAACTGTGTTGATGTACAAACTGGAGGAAACCACTCAATTCCAAAACCTGTTACTATAGTTTAGATGAGGGGTCCTCCAAAGGATGTAGGCTTGAAATCAAGACCAGACTCAGGAATGCAAAACCTGGAGTTATGGAGATGTAATGAATCTGTGTTCATGGTCCCTACCTAGTCATGAATGTGGCACTATTGCCATGATCATAACTGTCCCCCAACCCACTTTCTGCTAGTGATTGGGGCATGGATGGATGGCATCTCCATTTTGTCCCATAAGTAAGTGAGGCTGAAACAATCAGAAGCAGGACTCTTAACACAGGTCCTTCTTGCATCCTTGCTGGCTGGCAGGGGTGATGGTGGCAAAACTATCTGCCCATGTCCCCCATCACCAGTGGCATGGACCTCCTTCTTCTGGCATGGCTGATGCCCAATAAAGTAGTTTTGAGAGTCAAGCTGAGCTTGGTTATGCAACTAAGGGCCTTTGCAGACTGCCAGAAATAGTGCAAATTGAGTCCACTTTAAGGATTAGGGTTAGGGAATCATGGGAACTGTAGTTTATTGTGGCACCAGAGCTCTCTGACAGTTGGATCAATGTCTCAGAAAAAAAAAAAAACAATTCCCATGATTCCCTAACCTAACCCTAACCCTTAAAGTGGACTCAATTTGCACTCTTTCTAGCAGTCTGGAAAAGCCCTAAGTTAGTTATATAACTCTGTAGGACATGCAGAATTCCAGCTGTAGTCTTGAATCCCGTTGATCACTCCGCACTAGTGCAGACAGACTGAGTCAATAGTGGAATGGTGAGTCAACATATAGGGAAATCCCATCGATCCAATGTGCGTTCTCTAGCTGAGAGTACCAATGGCTGGAATTCTGTTGCTTTCATGGGCATGCCTTAATCCACCCCCTTCCCGCAGGCAAGGCTGGGCATTTTTGTCCAGTGCAGAATTTTATTTCTTTATATTTATTTATTTGATTTATATGCTGCCTTTCTCCCTGGAGGGACCCAAGGTGGCTCACAAATTTTAAAAACATTACAATAAAATTTAAAACAGTTAAAATAATCTAAAAACAATATGAAATTACATTTAAAAAAATATGCAGAAGTTACAAGGCATGACAAATACACATGCACACTTAGAATGGCCACGTTCAGTTTGTGAAAGGATGGAAGTAGGGATATGTATGCTGTTGCCAACTGATCTTGAGTCAACCCCAACTCATGTTGACTCTGCAGATGAGACATCTCCAAGGGCTCCTGTCCTCCACTGGATCTGCTCAGGTTGGGCAGATCCATGCTGGTGATCTCCCTTATTGAGGAGTCTATCCATTTGGTGTGTGGCTTTCCTCTCATTCTACTTCCTTCCACCTTTCTCAACATTATGGTCCTTTCTAATGAATCATGTCTTCTCATGATGTGGCCAAAGTATGACGGCCTCAATTTAGTCATCTTGGCTTCCAAAGAGATTTCAGGCTTGATCTGTTCATGGACCCATTTGTTTGTCTTTTTGGCTGTCCACTGTATCCTTGGCACTCTTCTCCAGCACCACATCTGATATAATAATAATAATAATAATAATAATAATAATAATAATAATAATAATAATAATAATTTATATCCTGCCCCTCTGCAGAGCAATCGGGGTGGCTTACAACATACAGATATATTAATACAATCTAAACAGAACATAAAAATCCCGAATCCACCCGTCCTTTAAGAAGGAAGGGTTCTTCTTATTCTAGGCCCAGTGGTGCTGGGCCTGTTGTCTCTCCCCCAGATGACATCAGATGGAATGAATTGATTTTCTTCTTATCTTGTTTCTTAATTGTCCAGCTCTCACATTCATACATGGTAATCGAGAATACAATGGATTGGGCAATTCTAACTTTAGTGCTCAGTTGTATATCTTTGCTCTTTAGGATCTTGTCTATTTTTTTTTCATAGTAGCTCTTTCCATCCCTAGTCTTCTTGTTTTTTTGACTTCATTCTCCATTCTGATCAATGTTTGATCCAAAGTACAGGGACGCTATTTCAATTTCCTTTTTGTCCAATATGAATTTGTGTGTTTATTCAATTGCCATTATTTTCATTTTCTTTATGTTCACCATAAAATTTTCAATAGAGTTGTGTATGCACTACCATTGGTGCATGGCTGTTTATTGTACAT